CCAAAAAACTCGGACGCTTCTGCAGATCAAGTAGCTATTCTAAAGATCTATTTCCTTCGGTAGAGGGCAAATTATAGATACCACATTATTGATTCATGTAAGAGTGTATGAAATAAAGTAACTCTTCATGTAACTTAAGTTGAATTATAGCTCCTGTTAAGTGGACAAGTCGAAACGACGTAACGAAACAACAAAACGACCTAACGAAACGACGAAACGACATAACGAGACGACAAAACGCCATGACGAAATGACGAAACGACAAAACGACGAACCGATGTGGTCGATGACGAGTCGGATTCGTAAAACGACGAGTCGAAGAGGCCAGCCGACGAATCGAACTGACAATACGACGAAACGAACTGAAAGTTCGACAAGTCGAACTCGGAAAGCAAGGACTCGACATAACGAAACGACGAAACGCCATAAAGAAACGACGAATCGAATATTTTGTCCAGGATCTACCTTCATAAAAAAGACACAGGTTTAGAGCTATTCTAATTACAGCTAAAAGCTGTTCGAGTTTTTTCGTTTGCATGTTTTACTTTCTCCATCGTCCGTTCGCTTATCTCCATATCCTGTACTGGGAGCCATTACTTAGACCGTTCAACTGCTCTTGTTTCAATCACGTTGTTTTCACAGACAAGCCAATTTTTAGCTCGAATTTACTGCGAAATGGTATTCTCTCGGAAGCCCTTCAACCAATCACGATTAGCGCTTACCTCAGTTATAACTTGACTCGCGACTATGTGAGCTCGAGTTGCTTATTTCCCGGGAAAAGATCTAAACTGTTCTGTGCGGAAAACATAGGCTCAGTATGGGAGTTGAACGCTCGGAGTAATGGATCCTGCTTGTACCCAGTACCCCTCTTTGTTCCCAGCTGACTCTCCCGGTTCTCGTTCCTGTCCCACTGTTTCAGTTTCTCAGCTCATTCTCTCATTTCCAAGTTTTTTTTCATGCGCCAAGTTTTCGGCGCAGTCAACTCGCTTCTCTCAAAGACCATTCATTGTGTCGATTTTTTAAACACCATGACCAATTAGGAGCTTAGAATTGCGTCGAAGGAGGTTGAAAACCCAAATTTCGGTAAATTTAACGCTCACGTGCGTTTCTCCAAGACGAGTACTATTTTTAGCAAATTTTGTCTGATCCAAGGGAAACTGGCTCTAGAGTATAAATACCTACAGTCACGAGTTTCTCACATGCCTCCCATCTGAAGTAGTATAACCTTTCTTAGAATGCCATCTGTCACTTGCAGCAAGTGAGCGTGCACCGGGATCTTCTGTACTTGCTAGTTGAAGCCTCAGAAAGGTAGGTGGCTTTAACTTAATTGCATTTTCCAAATACCCTCACATCTGGTAGTTTATTTGGCTAACGGAGTTTAAGTTAACCATAAATCGATATGAGTTAACTTAAGATTTCATCTGATCCTCGGAAACACGCCTTCTGTACATGTCTAATATGAATAGTTAGATTCTTTCCGATCCAAACTTGGGTCTATAGTTATTACTGAATAATACTCAGTTATCGAATTCTGCACGTTTTAGGGAGATATCTCGTGATAATTATTTGCAATTTCATCGAAATTCTACGGTTTATATAACTGCAGTTCGTGCACGAAACTTCCTCAAGGAGTTCATGACTAAGTCTTCTCGAAAGAAGCGGAAATCTTTCACTTTCTTTAATTTCAAAGTCTTTCCATAGGTATTAGGCAAAAATGGAGGCTTTTCTACGACAAAAAAAATTAAAGAAAGGAAGCGGCATATAATTTGTGGAGTATATGAGCTTATGAACGAGGTCGAGAATCCGAGGAAACCATACTTTACTTCCTCTCCAGGGTCATAACGAGGTATATTTTTTTCATCGCTGATCCCGTAATTTCACCCAAATTTTTTATTCCTGATTCCAAAAGTGATGAGAATTTTGATCCCTGATCCCGCAAAATTTTGTTGATCCCAGGGCATTTTCTCTTCCTTGCGCCAATGCGACATTATTAGACTATCAAAATATGCGCATTACATTACTTTCACCATATTATAATGACCCAAAGCATTTAATAGGATCCTACCTGAATTAACTCGATCTCCACTTCTTTTGGTCGTCTTTACCACTGTAGTATATAACTTTTCACAATCATCATCGAAGGGTCCGACACTTCGTTGACAGGTGTAAACATTTTTGATTTTGCTCAAATTTAACTCTTAAGGTTAATTTCCCTTAATTTAAAACAAACTAGTCCGATACTATACAATTCCTAACTTTTTTAGGGAAACAAAGACGGAAATAAATTTTCCGGAAAGATCTGATCAACCTCGTTCTCAGGGTCTCTCATCTTCCAGGGGGCGGAAAGATGAGAGACCCTGAGAACGAGGTTCAGATCTGATTCCTTTCGATTCCATCCGCCTGACAAAAAAAGAAGGCTTCAAATTGACGTTAATATTAGCCTCATTAACTTTTAAAAAAGTTCATTTTCATAACCAACATTGGAATAAAATGTAGTTATCGCAGTAACCTTTCTTGACCATTCGTTTGAAAGAACATCGTCTGGTCATCCTTCAAACTCGGTCTTCAACGCGTGACTCTACAGTCTACATTGCCTTCTTTGTAAGAAATCTATTGAAATGTATATTACCTATCGAGAAAACTTGAGCAAAGTCTGATTCTGGAAAGGCCCGGGATTTTTTCTGAGCTTGTCAAAACACAAATTGTGTCACTCTCCTGCCGGATCGACTACGTCCAGCTTCGAAACGCGTCTGTTGATAATCATCATCTTCACGGTTGTCACCATCACTTTCCTCCTCACCACTGCTCTCATAATCACCCTCGTCGGACCTGTTAGCCAAGTTTTTCAGGCGTTGCTCCTCGTTTCGACTTAGGAGAAATTTCTCACTATCCTGAACCAACGTTGCATGGTGCGCTCAAAGATGCCATCATTGCTGCGATGAATGTCCTCCCGAAGAATAGCTAGGAAAAAGGGCTGCAAACTGATAACGTTTCCAGTAGTGTTTTAGGGCAACTACATATCTCTTTGCAAAACGAAATGAAAAAAATTCTACCGAGCGGAGGCGGAAATATAAGCAACTAAAGTTACGAAACTTTAAAAATCTCGAGTAGACAAGATTAGCATTGGAGCATGCGCGACACATGCGTGCTCTTACTTTTTTATAGAGATGGTGTGTCTTGTTTATGCGCGCGCGCGTGGCTAAAAACCCTTTTAAGCCTCCTTAACAGTTTCTGTTTTCGGTAGCTGGCCCCAATAACTTAGAACCGTTTTAATCTATAACGTAACAGAGGCATAACTGTATGTCAGGTAAGAAAAGAAAACATTACATTACATTATCACATGTAATCAGCCCAACACCAGGATTAGAATTTTTTCGATTCCTACAGTTTAATTCCTGATTATGGTCAGTAAGTTGCTATAAAATTTAAACTCTTCTGGCTCTTTTGCCACTTTTCCAGTTTATGAAAAGAAGAGACAAAAAATTCCCCTTCTTGTAACGGTCCACAAATCATGTCAAACAAATAGAAGTCAAACAATGTAAATACTATACCTTCTTCTCCCATGCGATCTGTGGTTTCGGCGATGGTGATGCTCTGAGGACTTATGTTTTGGAGATCGCGATCGCAACCTGCACCGCCGAGATCTGTGGCGCACGTGAAATATCGGTAATGAGCCGAAAAACATGTTAAACATGCTGAAACACTGC